GCCTACTGACATTAAGGAACTGCTAAAGTTCCGTAGTCTAGCGGTATATTTCCACAAATAATTACACAGTTACACTGATACGACTGTCTTTTCTCTCGTTTTTTGAAAATAAAGATAAGGGGGACGGAGAGCCGGCTACCAGCGCTCTTTAAATGACATGAAGCAAAGCTTAATGTAATCGCCAGTTTTGGCAATTGCAGACCAAGCCAGGACAATTATATGGTCGGTGATGCCGGAGACTTTGCGATTGGCTGTGCATTGATGCAGTGCAATGCAGATGTTGTGGTGCTTGTCGTCTGTTGCAAGTCGCGCAACTTGCAATATGGTGAGCGCTACTACCCCGTGCATACCCAGGAACGCCTTGTAATGAAGTACGCGTTGGCAAAATTCAGATCCTATCGGCTAGGTGATAGACCCTTCATCGTTTCTTCGGACCATGCGTCTTTACTCACGGCCGTAAACAGTTGACACGTCTTGCAGCGGATGTTGAGGGGGATATTTACTTTAAAAAGTACTACCCTTCTGTCTAGTATAAACCGAAAAGACTTGATGTAGTCGCTAACGCATTTTCGTACTGACACGATTCAAAACCGGCTGCAACTCCAGACACTGGTCCGTCTACTTGCGCGGCCCTGACTTCAAATGTCCCGTCTTTATACTTAATTGGACGACGTAAGAAATGCGTATGATACGGAAATAGTGCGATTGATGCATCATTTCTCGCGGGAGGACCTTTAAAATATTGTTTTGAGGATTCTTATCTTCCTCCAACAGATATACAGTTTGTAACAGCGTAATCCAATATTCATCTGTTCCGGCGACACAACTTTAGTCGTCATACCATATCTTGGTGACATGCAATTGCGTATTAATTATGAGTGCCACGAAGCACCTCTTAGTTGACATCGTGGTCGTGAAATACACTTTTAAAGTAAATTTTGACTTTTACCGGCCCCGCCAGTATCATTTTGTGCACAAGTACGCTAAATTTTGTGAGTTCTGTCTGCAGGAGAAATCCAGTCCTTTTCTTCGATGAAATTTGCAGCCTCTGACCGTCTCGACGGAAAGCTGGGAATCCGTGTCAATGGACTTTGTCTTTGGATTTTACGTAGATCCTCGCAAGGATTTCCTTTTCTTGTGTTTGTTGTTAGTTACAGCAGGATGGTACATCTAGTTACTGTCCTCAAATCAATCTATGTATCGGCATGTGCTCGTGTGATAATCGACGCGGTCTCCCACCTCAAAGTGTCACCTTTTGGACTCTTGTTGGATCGGGATCCGCGGTTGACAGCTGATTTCGGCGTTCTGGTGTCAATGAGTTCGAATCACGCATAAAGATGTTATTTTCTGACCAATATGAAACAGATCGCCAGACCGAACGCTCCTTTCGTGTCCTCGAGAAGGTCTTGAACGAAAAGTCCAGTCTTTAACGATTTGGAGCAAGTTCTTGATAAAGGTGGTGTTTGCCTCCAACACTTCAGTCCATGCGCCGACGAAACACACACCGTTCTTTGTTAATGGCTGACGACATCTGCGTCTTCCCACCTCTTTAACGTGTAAAGCTAGGTTAAAAAGTTAAATGAAATCATTTTAAGGAGCGATAAACCGGCTCTCACTCATTATGTTCTCAAATGCGGTCACCAGGTACGACGCCGATGTCGGTCAGACCGATTTAGTGAATAAGAGGAAGTAAGAGTGAAGTTACTATTACTGACTACAAAACTGATCTAATCAGCATCACGCCAAGTGCTTCCATAGATACACTCACAAATCGACGAGTGATCTTGCTAAAGTACTCCTAAAGAGTACTGCAGCTTAAAGCAGCGAGTCAACAGATTAATTCATACTGGCTCGCAAATCGCTTTACCATTTCGTACAAGACCTTATCGCACAGGCGGTAGATCGAAAAAAATGAAACGCTGACAAGAATGTAAAGGCAAATGTTGTTTCAGTCAGAAAATGCGACTTAGTCGTACTATCTCCGGTAAATCTGTCGCAACAAATAGTGATTGCAGCGTATAGTAGCAAGCGACTACTCACGATTGTCGACCAATTTCATGTGCTGCGCCTCCTAGGCAACGTATAGAGATTATAATGCTATTTAAGATGCGCTTGTATCCTACGTTTTATGTCGTTTGTCTTAGGCCTAATCATCAGTACGGTTCTTTTTTCGGTGTAGAAAGCCCTTGCACTCAAGTATTTTCAACACATACTTTTGCTCAAGATGCTGGTACTCAATATGCGTCTAGAGTTCTAATATATCTTCTCGACGCCGGAGGATTTCCTGACGAATTTTTCAACCTCTCGTCACGGGGAGAACGCCTTTTCCGCTCATTTTCCAGATGGGCGAAGACATGATCTGCCCTGTCCATTTCTGATCGAAGCTCTGACTGTTCTTTTTGTCAAACAAATCCAGACGCATGCCTCCCTCTGTTCAAGTTCCTTGCGCAACTTACACCTGATGCGGTCGAGCTGAGTCACAGAATCAGTTTGGCGCTGCGAATCTAATGAAGGATGCGTTACCTCCTACACCTCATCCATTGGTAAGTACTCGCGGAGTTCAACGCTTCCTAGGTGGACGACTATTGAGCACTGCGACGTGGAAGGACGTCAGAAGACTAACATCGTCCGGTGGCATGGCTTTCTTCCCTCATCGAATAGTTGAGAACCTCGCTCGCAACTGTTGCGGACGTGTTGAACTCGTCGAGCAGTATGGCAAGGCGCGTCCGGTACCGACAAAGAACGATCAGGGAACGAACTTCCAGCGGTTACGTAATGCAAATTAGCTTTCCTCGTGCGTAGTTGTTACGTACCCTCCATTAAGTTTCCGTCATCGAGTAGGCTTCCGTTGGAGCCCGTGTCGAGTTTTTCACACAAAATTGGAACGCATCACCCCGAAGGAGGCATGTAAACCTGGAAATGTTTTACAACCGATGTAGTTTGGAATATGCACTTGCAAAAGTCCTCTTTAAAATTATTGCGAGATTGGGTCAACGATTCAATCCAGGCATCAAGCCCAATCTTCTTAGCAATGTGGATGAAGTTGTAAATATTTTGAATCGGCTAGGCACCACAACGCTTGCGGATTCGGCTATACCACCAATTGTTTTAGAATACGTCAATGTAAAAGTCACGCTTACTGTAAAAAGTAACTCGCGCTGGCGTCAAGGCCATTGGCCTTGGTGGATTAAAAAGCCTGATAGTATATCGATCGCTTACCCTGTCGAAAATTTATCCAACCTTCTTTGGGTACGCAGCCACGTCATCTTCGGAAGAAATGTGCAGAACTTCACGATCTGTTGCTTCTTGCGCGGTGAATATCCGAAGTATCGACACCACGTCCGTCATGGTCGTCTCAACTATTACGCATCACTGCGTCACCAAAATTATCTTTAAACTGGCTCTGGCCACCGCCTTAAGTATTCGCTAGCAGCAAACATACCTTGAAAACAAATCATCTGAACCGTCAGACGCCTCGAGACGTAAAGGCTCTCAGCGAAGCTTAAATCGCTTCGAGAAACCGGCTTAGCCATATCTTTCGAAGCACTTCTGGCTATATCTTAGCAGGTGTATTCGTCGAATCATTGCCGCCTTCCGACTCACCAGAGTAATTTAAGGCCGAGCTCTTAATCACCTGGACCACGCGGTGCATCGCCGCGTTAACATACAGCAGCAACCGCTGAAGGCTGATTATAGGAAGCAGAAGGCTATTTTTCGTCTGCTATCCTCAAGGCCTTCGAGTGGATATAATCTTATAGCTGCAATCTTAGCAGTTCTGTTTGCACACCGCATGGACATCTTGACCATCCGTGATTTTTGAAGGATAATTAGAATTAACGAAAAAGTGGTTAAATGTTTTAAAGTTACCCATAGGAGTCACTCATTCATTATTAATCACTAATGTGACTGAGAAAAAAGAGGAGTGAATGATGTAACGGGGTGCCTTCGCTATATCATAGTTTACACAAGGTAACTATCAAGTACGAATTTTCTGTAAGGTTCCACATAATCATCCCACAGCATTACATTTCTAAGCGATGTTGTGTTGCAGAAGTGATCCAGTGCTCATCAATTGATATCGACAGATGATATCATCCAATAAAGCTGAGCCGCGAAGAAGAACGCAATGAATGGTGAGTAGATAGCTTCAATGCATGTTTGTATTTACATGTAGTCTAAAGAATAATAAATATGATTTATAAACAGGATATAACAATACTAAATACATCTCTACTTAAACCCTTATCTCGTGTTAAAAAAATCCTCTGCACGACACGTGTACTTGAAGTCTCGATGCACCACTTACTCTGTGTTCAGTATGAATAGCTCAATTGTAACAGTACAAGCGACTCTGTCATGTTTCACGTGTATAATTGCCAAGTGTCTTGCTCCTGCTGCATCTATATCATCCTGCTCTCTAATATATCTGTAAAGGGAACCCTGAAGCTTATACTGATGACAGTACAAGCTACTTATTCTGATAACAGAATAAGGCGGTGCCTCGGAACTTCACGTACACTCGTACGTGCAGAGGGAGACGGTAGAATAAGCGAGAACTTGATTAAAGCAAAAAGTAGAACTGTATTTATCATAGTTAATGTCTGCAATAAATCACTATTCATCCTCATCTAACTACGTCTGAATACAAATGTGCATATCAACTATCTGCTCACCACTCATTGCGTGCGTCTGTCGTGGCGCGTCTTCGTTGGTTGATTTAATGGCCTACATCAACCAATTATAAACTACTCGTAAGTGCTACAGAATATTTGTCCTTATGACAATATTCTGAGAATATAACTCTTATAGTTATATTCTATTAACAATTTCTTATAAATTGTTATGTAACGATTCACCCCGTTAGATCACCCCCCCTTAACCATCGGTCACTTTAGTGACTGATTGACTAAATGGATACTCGTCCCAAATCATTTGGGACGGGTTTGCACTTGTTCGTCCGAGTCCACTTCCCAACATTTCATCGCATGGTAAACAAGCCCATGCGATGCGCGAGCAAGGCCGCCGAGAGCGCGTCTGCACGTCTCTGTGCGGACGCCGAAGCAGAAACCGCAGCAACTGATGTGTTATTGGTTGCTAAAACGTCTCAGTCTGTGTCACCTGGTGATGCAGGCGCTCTTCATGAAGACACTCATATCTTCACAGAGTATGAGCTCGGTGTCTCATACTCTCCTGATACGGAAGACGGATCCGTATCGACGGCGATCGAATCCAAGCCACCTGCCAAGCGTGGCATGGATGATGCTACGCGTCGTAGCATCTTTGGTTCGTCTGATGAATCAGATGAAACATCGCCAAAGCGAAGGCGCTCGAGTTTGCAAGACTCGGGCGCTCACAGTGATGTCGGTTCTCCTATTGACACCACTTCGCAGCGAGGTACCAGTCCTTCTGTCGGCACGTCGCAGGAAGAGCGGGACCGCAACGTGTTGCGTCTCGCTCCCGAAAAGAAGGCATGGCTGCCTCCAAAGTCAGTCATGGATCTCTTGTCGGCGACGACGAGTGATCGTTATCGAACACGATTGTTCGATTCATCAAGGATCCATCACCTTGACCCCAGCGCGAAAAACTATCGCGCTGAGAATGAATTCTTCATCGATGCATTCTTTAAACATCGATGGTACAGTGGGAATCACAAACGTGATGGTACCTCACTACTTCAGGCGTGGAACGCCTACATCCATAACCTTGAGGATGTAGGTCGTGACGTTTGGCATGACAAACTTATCAAAGCTCGTGATAAGTTTGAGAAGAGAACCCCGACAGGTGCACGCTACAAGCTGCATCGTCTGTCTAGGAAGAGTGGGTTACCCTGTCTTTCCTGGGGAGAACCGTGCCCTTGTTGTGTAAACAAATCTGCGCGCGCACCTAAGGAGGCTTACCTCCTTACTAGTCCGTGATGGCGCGTACGTATCTCTAATGAGATATACGAAGGGATTGACAACCTGAAATCCCTTTTTTGACCGTTCCGGGAAGACTTCTCCGGCGGTCCCTCTACGGCACGGGATGTGCCGTGTCGTACTGCTCGACCAGACTCAGTACGTCAATCATCAGTTGGGAGCGGGACTCCCAAGTATCACAGGACGGGGGATAGCCGCGCCACCGGACGAGATAACTCGTCCGACGTCCGTTCACGTAGCGGTGGTTCAACAGCCGCTCAATCAGATAGCGCTGGCCACCGTGAGAGTCCTCCAAAGAAGGTGGAGGAGGAGGGAAGATGCTCTACAAACTATCATGGGAAAGCGTGTGTCCTTGAGAGCCTCTTGGATCGCGTAACTATTGCGTTACGCGGCGACCTCGAACATGAGCGGGACAGGCGTCTTCAACTGGCGGACACTGTCTTGAAGCATCGAGCTGAGTTTGCCTTTGCTCAGCTTGAGAACGAGAGAGCTCTGACATCTCTGCGTGACGAACTAAGGGTAGCTCGTGTGGATATTGACCGGTCTCGGGCTGAGATAACTGCTCTTCAGACCCTTTTCGATATCCACCATCGGGTGCACAAAGCCATCTGTGAGATGCTTGAACGCAAGGGCGTTCTTCATCGGAAGAAGCAGCTTACTGATGGTACGACTTAAGCCGACCAACGTAAAACGTGGGATGCGTTCGCAACTTACGTGGCAGTTCGATAGTGTATACGTTGCCTAGGCGATGCAATACACGAAAGGGGACGATGTACTTGGGTAGAAGTTTACTACTACCCACGTTATTCACTACGTGCTTTGGTAGGTTAACCGTAGACAGTAGGACTAAGTCGCCTTTATTAAATAAAAGAGTGTTTGCCCTTCCATTATTGTCTGCGTTTTGCTTTTTCTTATCCACTGCTTCGGCGATGGAGTCTTGCACACAACGGACTACCGTTTCACGAGCCAGTGTGAACTCATCTGCTGACTCGTTAGCTTCAGTACGCTGTGAGTGCATTCAACTTCCTCTGATACCGGAAGAAGTGGGGGAATTGAGCTTAATTTTCGTTGAGGCTCCTCTTCGCAGACACTCTCAAAGTTAGATGGGTCGTGAGAAAGACTGTAAGTGCTGACAAGTGTTGGGGGACGCGCTTTAGGTTGCCACACACTACCTTTACGCACACCTTAAGGCACCTGCGAGGAAGCAGTTTTACCTTCTTCTCTCGCGTACAGAGAGGTTCTACTGGGTGTATTACGAGTGCCTCACCGATAGATGAACACTTATTGCTTGGCGTGGATCGAACACAATTTCCCTTCCTCTGCCACACACGTCACAAGTAGGTTTCGAATAAAAACTTATTTTTATAGGATTAGTTAATCAGCAATCTAAATAGACATTAGCTGAAGACAATAGATCAGATTCGCAATCCGATTAGACGCAAATCATACAGCATGCTTGGACACATTATGGGTAAGCGCGCTGATGACGTACTTCAATGGCATCATGTCATGGAGTCAAGAATTGACTTCATCCATGTGTGTGACACATCTTTGTATAGGTACGCTGTTGCTATACCTCATGCACATTTAAGGTCGAAGTACGTACTGCATTTACATCCTTTCTCATACTTACTGTGCCTGAATACGGAAAGTATCGTGTAACGGATTGACCGCGTTTAATAATTCACGAAAATGACAAAACCGTTTCCATAGCTTTTTGAACAATTTAAATTCGATTTTGGTGACATTTTCACTTGTTGCGTTACTAATTTTTTCGAGCAGAAGGATATTTTAAAATCGAAACGAGAATTTTTCAAAATGGAAACTTCGTAATCAACAAATTGCGTCCTACGACATGTCACAAACTCATAATATACAGAGCTTAGGAAGGAAGATCTTGATTCGCTTCCGATATGAGAACTTGATCATACCTTGATACACCTTAATCTTAAATTTAACAACTAATACTTTATTTAGCATAGAATCGATTTACACTTACGATTTCGTAAGGTGCGAGAATTTTGCTGCAATTTAATGTCTAGAATTTGCCTGTTGTTCCTCTGTCCACTTATTATTATATTATGCCAACCTCGTGCGAGCATTGGTACGCGCAAAAACGTTCCACATTACTCAGTCGCGAGTAGTGATCTAATTAACGGGTGACACCTATACTTCCTATCTATCTATGACTGAATAAAAGTCTACAATGACTTTGGTGCGAGGTACAAGATAGACGTAGCGTTAGTCGCACACACAATAGAGACTACAAATTCCGTTTTAATTGATTAAAAAACTCATTTTTTTCGGTGCTTCGATAAATCCCGATTTTAACCGGGAAAGTCATTATTTGATTCGTGTCGGTAAGCAGCCCTTTATTTCGTGGCTTCACCTTCATTCAGCGTCTGTACCAATTCTGCGATCTAGCGGAGACACCTTATCGGTGAAGAATTTATAGACCGCGTTTATAGAGCAACCGCGTTTCCGTTCCGGCGACCGGATTACTGGCCATATATTGTCATTGAAGACGACCACTTTGAGAGCCTCTTAGTAGACCTGGTCTTATGTTCATTAACGACGACCACTTCGAATTTCGGGCGACCCGGTATTATTTTTTTTACTAACGACGACCACTTCGAAGTCCTCCACGGCAACCCGGTCTTGCTACGGAAGATAAAGAACCTTTGTTCGAGTTATTGACATCCTCGTCAAACAGTCTTACATAAAACTACGACGGTACACAGTATTGAGTACGGATAGGGGAAGCTAATTTTTCTAACATCCTGAAATGTATTTTATCTGTTGGCGCCCTTGCAGTTGCAGGCAGCGGGGGCCACGCACTTATCGGGGAATAACACCCTACTAAAAACTGATTTTGGAAGCAAAAAAAGCTCGGGTTTAAAATAAAAGTAACAAAAAATTGACTGTAGAAAACTTTTGGGACCAGCCCTGACATACACGGACAAAAAGTAAATATAAAGGTAGCTAATCAAAAATTGAGCACAGTCACTAACACTTCACTCTTCGAAATAGCGATCCAGCAACAACGTGATTATAGCCATTGTAAACAAGTTGGAATCGATGTAATAAGAGCATACACTCTGTTTTACCGTCGAACGAATGGGACGCATGGCTAGCTGTTAGAAGTTAAGTAAAGTTGCCGGTTTTTATTTTAAAAGGAACGAGGACAACTTGGCAGTATTGGTCGTCGTAAAAATCCTACCAGTTCGGCACTGTATCTCCTTGCTATGCAACGGCATTGCAAATGAGCAATCGGCCACGAGGTACACGTAGCAGATTCACACCTCGACCTGATTGGGTTTTTTCAGCTCCGGTCAGGATGTTCAGGTGGTGGCTGAATGACGCGGCTTGATGCGCAAGCTACTACGGATGGTGTTTTTCAGCTCTAAAAGCAAGAACCATAAAATTCTAAGGGTGGTGATGTTCTTAAAACCCGATTTAATCCACCAGTGGAATTAGCAGCGTGAAATTGTCGATTGAACGTTCGCTACAAAAAACTCAATTTACTAATAAACCGGAACAGCGGTTGAAGTCATTATAATTAAAAGTTTAGCATGATGTAACGTACTCAAGATTCCATGGCTGTCGAAATTAAAAAGGCAGTATACGCAGAAAATTCCGATCCCGATCTGTGAAGAAATCAGCGGCTCGTGCAAGATAATGTTGAAGTTGCACAACTTACTTTCCGTCTCTTTGTGTGTTCCTGCAAATCGAGATGGTTGTTTTGTAAATTTCGCTTTTAAATTTGAGCGAGTATGTCCTGTCCACGTGATTAAATATTATTTACAAGGATTGATGTTAATGTAGGTCACATTTGCGTTTTAGTAAAGGATGAATCCGCACAGGCACCCATTCTCGCACATTTTTGGTTCAAATATAACTAAAAGCGAACAGACAGCTCTTTAGGTAATAATTTACTTTTGAAAAGCAAAACACCTCGCAAGTTCAGCAGACAGTTTATGCCAAGTTTCGATCAAAAACTTTGTTCCTCAAAGAGCGAAGGTTTTTTGGTCGCATATATCTCGAGGTGGAAATGCAAGCTCCCGCAATCTAATTGCGCTTATCACTAATAAATGATATGGCATCGGCCATAGTTTATTATTAAAGGCTTCCTCGAGCAGGATCAATCTCTGTTTCCGTTTCCCGAATTTGACTCGATTTAGCATCCAGCTTGTGAATAAGTACACCTTAAAATCAAACAGATCTAGTATCACTTCTGATATTTAATAAAACAGTACAACCCACTTCCTAAATGCCAACTACCTAAATGTGTACTATAATTTTAAAGATTGATTTAGTTCTATATCCATTATTAATTATATCATAGGGCGAGCCCCAGATCTTGCTTTCCTTTCACAACCGAACAATTTTTGTAGCGCTTGTGTTTAAGTTATTGTTGCTCTAGTGCAGGCGTCCTTCTACTGAAAGCAAAGACGAAGGAATTTTTGGCACATGATAACTACGAATAGGAGGTTCCTAAAAAGGCATTTTGCTTGAAAACAAGTCAACAACCTACAAGCATAAGAACGTCCAAGCACAAAGAAAAGGTATTGTGCCGAAATACTTTTGTAATTATAAAAAGCTATAATTCGAATGTATCATAGAGATTTGAACTTGTAGCCGTGAGAAGTATACTTGTACTACCGTAAAGAGACGCAGCCGGCGACAGAAATATTAGCAAACAACTTAGAATTAGCATCCGCACAACGACAACGGTAGCGATAATTATAACTGGCAATGAAGCGGTCGATGAGAATCATTGCTGACGAAGATCTCAAGAAAGATTGGAAAACAACGTCGCACAAGGTTTGGCCTCTGCCGACCTGGACAACAACCGCCTCAATTAATTAGGACTAGGCAAGCCGAGAAGAGGATAGCACAGTTTTACATCGAAGTTTAGGCGTCAAGGTCGACAATTCGCTCATTAAAGAAGCGGAAAAATCAATTGCAGACCACTCTTTTATTAAACTTTGTCTAATATCTCATACTTCCTATGACAGGGTGCGCCAGAGGCATCCTTGCGCACATCACATCACCCCTACCTTTATAAAGAGGTCCTTAATCAAGAAGTCATTTGCACAGCAATTCCATTATTAGATGCGTAGGTGTAAGCAGCTTCCTTTTCGAGCCATCATTTGCTGTATTTCTGCTGAAAGATGATTATTGGGTAGCCGACTCACTAACCATTGTTCAGCACATCTATTTCTTCATTGTGGTCTTTCAGCGAATGGGTTTCTGAGGCAAGTTGTATGGAGGCAAGAATATACAGAACACTTGAATTGACTGCGGTGACATTACAATAATATAGAGAACTAGAGGAGAAATAATGTTTTGGGTGACCGTTAACACGCTTGTAGGCTTTTTAAGTATAAGACTATCCACATATTCTGCGTCTATCAACTGGTTTTAGGCGAGTTTCTTGTTCTCAGGATTAATCCCTAAAATTATACCATGATCGCTACCACAGAGAACACCTGCTCTAGCTCCTTTCTTTAGTACAATTATTGATAATTGCCACATCCGAACAAACCGCGTAGTGACTTAAACGATTAATACTGAATAATCTATAATTATGCATCGGCTTAAGGACCAACATACAAAAAAGAGGGATTGATAGGACACATCCTTCACGGCTTATAACTGTTCACTAGCTTAGA